TCCATATAAAGTTGAGAATTGTTCTTTCAAGGTCTGTGAATAATTGTGCTGGGATTTTGATGGGTACTGCATTGAATCTGTAGATTGCTTTTTGGCAAGACTGGGATTTTTACTGTGTTGATACTACCTATCCAAGAACATAGGAGATCCTTCCATTTTCTAGTATTTTCTTTAATTTCTTTATTTAGAGACTCAAAATTCTTACAGTACAGGTCTTTCACTTTTCTGTTTAGTGTTACCCCAAGGTAGTTTATGTTGTTTGTGGCAATTGTAAAGGGTGATGTTTCTCTGATTTCTTTCTCCATGAATGTATCATCTGTATATAGTAGGGCTACACAGTTTTCTTTTTTTAGTTAATCTTATATCCTGCCACTTTGCTGAAGGTGTTTAGCATCTGTAGAAGTTCCCTGGTAGATTTTTTCAGTCACTTATGTAGACTATCATATCACCTGCAAATAGTGAAAGTTTCACTTCTTCCTTTCTGATTTGTATCCCCTTTATTTTCTTTTGTTGTATTATTGCTCTAGCTAGAACATCAAGGACAATATTGAAGAGCTATGGAGAGAATGGACAGCCTTGTCTTGTCCCCAATTTTAGAGTAATTGCATTGAGTTTCTCTCCATTTAATTTGATGTTGGCTGTCAGCTTGCTGTATATTGCTTTTATTATGTTAAGGTATGTTCCTGTTATCCCTGATGGATCCAAGACCTTTATCATGAAGGGGTTTTGGATTTTGTCAAAGGCTTTTTCTGCATCTAGTGAGATGATCATGTGTTTTTTCCCTCAGTCTGTTTATATGGTGGATTACATTGATGGATTTTCGTATGTTGAACCATCCTGGCATTCCTAGGATGAAGCCTACTTGATCATGGTGGATGATTTCTCTGATATGTTCTTGGATTTGATTTGCCAGTATTTTATTGAGTATTTTTGCATCAATGTTCATGAGGGATATTGGTCTGTAGTTCTCTTTCTTAGTTGTGTGTTTGTGTGGCTTGGGTATCAAGGTAATTGAAGTCTCTTAAAAAGAGTTTGGCAATGACCCTTCTGCTTCTATTGTGTGGAATACTTTGAGGAGAATTGGTGTTAGCTGTTCCTCAAATTTCTGGTAGAATTCTTCATTGAAGCCACCTTGTCCTGGGATTTTTTTGGTTGGGAGACTTTTGATGACTGCTTCTATTTCATTAGGTGCTACAGGTCTATTTAAGTTGCTTATGTGTTCTTGATTTAATTTTGGTAAGTGAAATCTGTCCAGAAAATTGTCCATTTCCCTTAGATTTTCAAATTTTGAGGAATATAGGTTTTGAAGTGTGACCTGATGATTCTCTGGATTTCCTCTGTGTCTGTTGTTGTGTCCCCCTTTTCATTCCTGATTTTATTGATTTGCATGTTCACACTCTTCTGTTTGGTAAGTTTGGATAAAGGTTTGTCTATCTTGTTGATCTTCTCAAAGAACCACCTCTTTGTTTCATTGATTTTTTGTATTGTTCTCCTACTTTCCACTTTATTTATTTCAGCCCTCAATTTGATTATTTCCAGGCATCTACTCCTCAGGGGTGTGTTGACTTCTTTGTGTTCTAGAGCTTTCAGTTGTGTTGTTAATTGCCTAGTGTGATTATTCTCCTGTTTCTTCATGTGACCACTTAGATTTATGAACTTTCCTCTTAGCACTGCTTTCATAGTGTCCCATAAGTTTGGGTATATTGTGTCCACATTCTCATTGAATTCTAGGAAGTCTTTTTTTATTTCTTTTTATTATTTCTTCCTCAACCCAGGAATTGTGCAATTGGGCATGACTTAATTTCCATGAGTTTGTAGGTTTTCTGCAATTCGGGTTGTTGTTGAAAACTAACTTTAAAGCGTGGTGGTCTGATAAGATACAGGGGGTTATTTTAATTTTTTTTGTACCTGTTGAGGTTTTCTATGTTGCCAAGTATGTGGTCAATTTTAGAGAAGGTTCCATGTGGCACTGAGAAGAAGGTATATTGTTTTTGTATGTGAATGTAATGTTCTACAGATGTCTGTTAAGCCCAGTTGGGCCATAACTTCTATTAGTTTCTTTGTTTCTTTGTTAATTTTCTGTCTGGTGTTCCTGTCCAGTGGTGAGAGTGGGGTGTTGAAGTCTCACACTATAAGTGTGTGTGCTTTTATGTGTTTTAGTAATGTTTCTTTTACGAATGTTGGTGCCTTTGTATTTGGGGCTTAAATGTTCAGAAGTGAGACTTCATCCTGATGGATTTCTCCTGTGATGAGTAGGAAGTGACCTCCTTCATCTCTTTTGATTGATTTTTAGTTTAAAATCCAATTTATTGGATATTAGGATTGCTACCCCTGCTTGTTTCTTGGGTCCATTTGATTGGTAAATCCTTTCCCAACCTTTAATTCAAAGACCCTCTGTCTTTGAATTCAAGGTGAGTTTCTTGTATGTAGCAGAAGGATGGATTCTGTCTTATCCATTCTGCTAACCTGTGTCTTTTTATGGTCAGTTAATTAATATTGATTAATATTGAGGGATATTAATAACCATTTATTGTTCATTCTTGTTTGTTTTGGATTTGGTGGTGGTGATGAAATTATGTGTGGGTTTCCATCCCTTTTTTTCTTTTGGCTGTTGGTAAAGTGGGATTATCTATTGCCTATATTTTTCTGGTTGTAGTTAACTTCCTTCGGTTGCAGTTTTCCTTCCAGAACTTTTTGTAGAGCTGGATTGGTGGATATGTATTCTTTGAATCTGGTTTTGTCATGGAATATCTTGTTTTCTCCCTCTATATTGATTGAAATCTTTTCTGGGTATAGTATTCTGGGCTGGCATCCATGGTCTCTTAGTGTAGGTAGAATATCTATCCAGGACTTCTGGCTTCCAGAATTTCCATGGAAAAGTCAAGTGTAATTCTGATAGGTTTGCCTTTATATTTTACTTACCTTTTACTTTTGCTGCTCTTAATATTTTCTCTTTATTCTGTATGTTTGGAGTTTTGATTATTATGTGGTGAGGAGACCTTTTCTTTTGGTCCAGTCTATTTTGTGTTCTGTAGGCTTCTTGTACTTTCATTGGCATGTCTTTCTTTAGGTTGGGAAAGTTTTCTTCTATGATTTTGTTGAATATGTTTTCTGCACCTTTGAGTTGGATTTCTTCACCTTCTTCTATACCTATTATTCTTAGGTTTGGTCTTTTCACGGTATCCCATATTTCCTGGATATTTTGTGTTAGGGATTTGTTGGACTTAAGATTTTCTTTGGTTGATGAGTCTATTTCTCCTAGTGTATCTTCCACTCCTGAGAGTCTCTCTTCCATCTCTTGTATTCTGTTGGTTATGCTTGCATCTGTAGTTCCTGATCGTTTATCAAGCTTTTCTATTTCCAGCATTCCCTCAGGTTGTGCTTTCTTTATTGCCTCTATTTCAGTTTTTAGAATCTGGACCTGTTTCCTTGAAGGATTTGTTGATATCTTTTATTTTTTGTTTTTTTTCTTTCATTTCTTTAAGGGATTTTCTCATATCCTCTTTGAGGCCCTCTATCATTTTCATAAAGATGTTTTTAATGTCATTCTCTTCTGCTTCATCTGCATTGTGGTGTTCTGGTCTTATTGGTGTATTGTCCCTAGTTTCCGGTGGTGTCATGTTGGTTTTTCTGTTGTTGAATGTGCTTTTTATATTGTCTTCTTCCCATCCTTTCTTCTGGTGGGTGTAGCAGGAGTTTCTTCCTCTCCTAGTGGGTATGGGACCAAGGTTCCCTTCTGGTAGATGCAAACAGTTCCAATACTCTGATGTCTGTCTTCTCCTGGATGGAGGCAGGACTGTTACTGGGGCCTTGGCAGTCTTTGTGTGTGCTAGATCCTGCCGGCTGAGTTCAGATCCCATGAGCAGACCTCTGGCATCAGGTGTCCCCAAGTAGGGCAGGGGAAGCCCTCTATTGTAGTTCTTTATGTGTTATTTTGAACACAAATTTGACTTCCAAAGAATGGATAATTTACTATCTCCAAATTTTCATGTGTATATTCAAGGATAATTGAAAAGTCCTTTTAAGCAAATCCAGTCTCCCTTCTAATCTAGATAAATGTGCTACTTAATTGAGTTTTTCCTTTTTTCCTTAGACAAATACATAGATTTATCATGTCATTAATGCATCCTGATGTGCTTGACATTTACCTTGCTTCTTTGAGGCAGGCCACTGGAGAACTTGGTATTTTTACAGATTCCATAGTTTTGTTCCATTTTTTACCCTCTATTTTCCCAGAGAAAAATCTATTCCAGGAGAAGATTTTCAAAGGCTTATGATTTTTATTTTTAACATTATCTCTTTCTGGTGTTAATTACATAATCAGTCCTTAATGAAAAATGGATTTATTCAGTTGCATAGAAAAATAGTATAGTCTCACTGATTTTTCCTCTGAAGTCATACCCTTTAATAGCGATGGTTAACAAGCTATCACATGTTCTAAAGTTATATGTAAGTTCTGGAAAATGGTGTTTGTGTAAAAAATAAAGCATTTATTAAAGAAAAGAAGTGTCTTCTTAACATTTTATGATACTTAGAAATTCAGTTCATCCAATTATTATAGTTTAAATTAATTTTTGGAGTTGAAAGTGAATGGCAACTAGTTAGAATAGCTCTCATTATTTTATTATCTTTAAAAATATTTGGAGTATTAAAAAGGTATTCCTTACATAAAATTTTTGATACTTTTTGTATTAAGGTAGAGACAATGCAGGTTTTAAACAGAATATTGTTCCTAAGAATTTCTTATTAGAAATTGTTAACTTTTAATTATATTGCTATAAAGGCTTTGTGATAGTTGATAAAATATTTTGAGAGTTGTCTTTCAATTCCAGGTTAAGAGGAAATGTATAAACACTGTATCTTTTACCTTTTTATCTGTTTCTAGAATGAAGGCATTGTAAAGCTGTATAATGAAGGCTGTTGCAAGATCTGTAAGTGAGGCTATGATCCATGCAATAGTAAAGTAGTTTCCATGGCTCCTATGGTTGTTGGGTTTTGTTCCCTCAACAGTCTGTTCCTAAGATGTGCTCTGTAAAGTCTGTCACTTAAATGCTTTTGTGATGTGTAGTTGATATTCCTATAACTCAGCCTTTATATTGTGTGGTGTACATAAACATTTTTTTACTTAGATAAATTCTCATTTCATTTTTGGACATTTCTTTATTGTGGTATTTTCTAAAAAACATAGCCTAGTATTTTCTTTAAAACCACAATAATTTTATGTGTATGTATGTTTTACCTGCATGTATGTCTGTGTATCATATGCATGTGGTGCTTGCAGAGGTAAGAAAAGGGCATTAGATCCTCTGGAACTGGAGTCACAGAAGGTTGTGAGCCATCCCATGGGTGCTGGGTATCAATCCTCAAGTCCTCTGGAAGAGGAGACAGCTGCCTTAACAGTTGAGCTTCTAGCCTAGGATTTTAATAGGTTTGAGTTTCAAGTTTACTATGGCCTACTTTGCATAGAATATGCTCAACTGCACAAATTTAAGTAGTTTACAATGAGAATGACATTGAGACACCAATATGGACATTCAAGAGAGTATCTTCATACCTTTTGAACAGATCTCTAAATCTATACTTATGGGAAATGCCAACAGTGAATTATGTTTACATCCTAGATTTAGAAAATGCCATGGTAATTAGTTAACTACATGTAATGTATTTTATATTTGTTTTAATTACAAGTTTATTTTGTTGTGATTTTGAATAAAGACTGGGCTAGAATAGAGGACTATGCTACCAACCACTTTTATTTTTTTAAATTAAGAATTCATATCAATACAAAAGTAGGAGTTTTAAGAAAAGTTACATAGGTAGCAATTTAAAAATTATATAGAGATGCTTTGGGGAAAAGAACATAGTAAAATTTGAGTTGGTAATATCATCGTAGAAGGATGGATTACTAAATATAAGCTGAAATATTTCTCAAATAAGATTTGTGAGTATCCTGGAGGACTGAATCCCATGAATATATAAAGATAGAATATTTATTTTGCACAAGAGTCCACTGCAATAAATTCTGGAAGTATTCTGATTTTCAGCTCAAAGAGGTTAAGCAATTTGCCCAAGTCAAATTTCCTGTGATTTGTGATGATGAACTAACATTAAGTTGCATTGTGTATGAACACCCAGTTAAGTTGTATATAAAAACCCTCCCATCAACAAAAGGAAAATGGAAAAGTTCAGCATTTCACAACTTGATGTTCATTCTACTGCCTGACTTTCTAGGTCTTTTGTAACACAAACTCTCATAGAACAGGTGGGTTAAACACCAGAAATGTACTGTTTCATAACACTGGAGTCCCCAAACTTAGATGTTGGCGAGCAGCTTTCTAATGAGTTCAGTGAGAGAGTAATGCCTGTCCCTGACTTATAGATGACTGTCACCATCTTTGTATTATGTTTTCGTGTGTGTGTTTGTGTGTGTGTGTGTGTGTGTGTGTGTGTGTGTGTGTGTGTCCAAATTCCCCCCTTTTATAAGGGCCAGTCATACTGCATTATAATCTACATACCTATCATATTCTCATCTGATTGTCTCTGTAAAGGCCTGTGATAAAATAAAAATAACATTCTGTAGCTCTACTGAACATTGGAAGATTTGAGGAGCACAATTCAAATGACAAGAACTATACTGAATGGGCCTTAAGAATAATGTATATTTTAATTGCTAGAATCTTATGAGACATCAAATGAAAAATAATCAGTTTTTCATTCAGTGTTCTCTGAACCACATATGGGCTAATGTTTACTGATTATGGGCTCTATCAGGAACACAGGAATTAAATTTAGCTGTAGAATCTGAAGAGACTTGTATAATATATTCTTACTTCTCATTCCTTGGCCAGCTTTGGATTCTAAGCTTTCCTTTAGATATGAGATAGAAGCACAATCATGTTCAAAGTCAAGGCCATTGACTTTGAATCGGCCCCATAATGCCACCCCACGATAATTAATAGACAAGTCAGTGTGTTTATTTTCTGAGGGCACACAGGGGAACAACTGGGTGGTTAAACTAATGATTGACATACTAGCACTCCTCAGCTTGTTTAGACATGACAGCAGCCAACCCATGGAGGAAGGTATTGCTTCCTGAAATTGTTAGTCAAGCCCCAGAGAAGGAGATTCCATTAGGCAATACTGGGTGTAGGCCCAACATAGATCAACTCTGCTAAACTCTTTGAGTGGCAGAGTAATAGCAAACTGCCTTTGTGTCTCTCATCCAGTGTGTAAGTGAATGTGAAGTAGTTAGTAATGCTTTGACATTAGAGAAGCTTTGTCACAGCCTGAGATTCTGGATAAACAGGTTATGGTCATTATGTTGTAGAGATTGTTGAGTTTAGGTACTATCACAGATGCTGCGATATATACCAAATATACTTACTACAAAGACATTTGTGAGGAATATATGGGAAATACCTCCAGGAATAAAATATTCAACTAACCAACAATGAATAATGTTGTCCTATCTATTTATTGAATTTGTTTTTCCTTGACAAAGGCAGTTTAATTTCAGCCAGTCTTAGCTGCCCATCTCTCCTTGAATCTAGCATATTAGTGAGGACTTAGAAAATATAGTTTTATGTCCCAGTTTTATTTAAAAATTGTTATGTACTAATGAATTATTTTTACATATTGCATATTTACACAAATAAAATATAAAAATATTTTTCAATTTATGTGATATATTTGGCTAATAATGATAATTATTATTTTAAGATAATGAGGTAAAAAGTGAAAATAACTGATTTTAGAGGATACAAGCTATATGGAAGGAGAAAACAGATATTATCCATATAACATCTAAAATTTGAAAATATTTTAATATTGACTATATGTTTTAATAAATACATCAAATTTCCAATCTAATTATATTCATGTTTTAAATTTAGAAAGGCTTTTACATGGTATTATTTTTATTTGTAATTTGTAATTTATTTGTGTGTAGGTATGAGTCTGTTCATGTGTGCGTGGTTCATAGAGGGGCCAGATATGTCAGGTCCCCTGGAACTGGAGTTACAGGGTTGTGAGCCACCTGATGTGGGTGCTGGGAACTGAACTCCAGCTGTATGGATTAGCAGCATGGGCTCCCAACCACTCAACCATCTCTTTCCATCCCCTTCCATGGGCTTTTTGATGAACAAACATATTCTCTTATTTTTCTTCCAGGCAAACGAGAAGAAAGAATGTGCCAGAAAGTGATCATTAAATCAATGATAAAGAAACAGGACTGTGTAAGCCAGACCTCTGTAAGTGGAAAAATGACACTGCTACATTTGTTTCTGGAAATCTGTGGTTTTCTGACATGTGGCAAACTATATGCCAAGAAAATGACAACATATAGTATCTAACTTTGAGAGTGATCCTATCCTCTAATATTAAAACATCCTGTTTCTGAAGAATTATAGTTATTTTTAGCATAAGTAATCAACAGTTCTCAATGGTAATTGCAATCTAGAGAGATAGAAATGCAGTCTCCAATATTTGATGACATTTTGTCTTCAGTTGTGTAATTTTAATCAGGGAATGTAGCCTGAGTTATTACTTTACTCCTTTTAGTATGGCCTACATAATTCTATCCTGTACTTGTACCAGAAGATGACACCAGCGGCAATAGAATTATTGGGCTGGGATTAAGTTATTCTATATTTTTATTCAGTTATTCTCACACAACCATCTAGAATTATGTAATCATCACTATATTCAGCATCATCATGCAACAACCCTTTGGTGTATGTATGAATCATGTTCTAATGTAGCATTTCCACAATCTTTTAAACTTCTAGAAGATTGGGTAGTGAAATCGTAACAAAGCTCTTACTGACTCCTCAGAGGATTCAAATAATCACCAGTGTTAGGCAAATTTGAAAATTCTTTTCTCATTATTTGTCCTTGCAGATCAGCGTTGCATCTTGCGATGGGAAATGCCCATCAGCTACCATATACAATATCAATGTTGAAAGCCACCTGAGGTTCTGCAAGTGCTGTCGCGAAAATGGAGTACGAAACCTAACTGTGCCTCTGCATTGCTCAGGAAATGGCACAGAAGTTATGTACACACTCCAGGAACCTATAGACTGCACATGCCAGTGGAATTAAGCCCATGCATTTGAAGAACTCTATACAACAGTGTCATGTCAGGCAGCATCAGCTCATTGCTATTATTTAGGAGCATGACAGCCTTATACTGTCTAAGAATAATGTGTCTTAACACTATTGGAATTTGATAACCTAATAGTCAGTACAAACTGTGTATAGTTTCAGTGGAAAGTTTTGATTTGTAGTTTTATTTCTGAGGATAAAATCATTTTAAGTTGTTAGCTGAAATGCTGTTATATTTATAATTGCAGTGTGGGGTAAATTTAAATATTTCTATAAAGTAGAAGGCTGTGTTGCAGAATTCCTTCCATTTCAGTTCCTGGTTTTCTTTTTTTGTTTCCATTTGCAGTTTGCCATGGCTAGTTAAATTGAGGTAAACTTTAATTTCTATTGCATACTCTGGCCAATGAGATTTGTTATAATCAGCTGATAGATAACTATAGAGTTGTGTGCTTAGAAACAGAACATAGAACCATAGGTTGTTAACATTAGTTAATACAACTGTTAGGAATGTCACCACAAACTCCTCTCAGTTTTCAGATGTGACATTAGCATAATACATTTGTGACTTCTACAAACATATATAGAAACAATGTGATGAACTTATGTTAAAAACTAGACTATTTTCTAGGTCTTTTTGATTCTGAATTCATGCTCTTTTATTGTAAATGATACAGCAAGATGACAAGAAAAGTCACATAATATTCTGTTATTAAATAGTACTGGATTGGATTAAAAAGCTTAAGTCCAATATTCATTTAGAATATCACACATGCAATAATAGTTATTCAGTAATAAGGAACAGGAGAACATAGTATCAGTCACTACATAGAAGAAGACCTGGAGCTATATTTTTATACCATTGAATTTATTAATTATATTGTTACTATTTTACATTTACTTCCTTTATTTATCACTGGGGACTGTTTCTAAATTTATCTGTACACTATGAAACCTGAGAGCTATTTTTGCCAAGAAGGCTGCTGCTTTCTCAGTGTAGAGTGATATAAAATTATCACTTTCTTTTAAATTCCATTCTGTTATTAAATATTAACTAATCTTTAAACCTATTTGTTAGGAGAAGATAAACATTCTTCTGGTATTTTATTTGGGAGCCCATCCCACATGGAGGGATACCCCTTGAGCCTAGACACAAGGGGGTTGGCTTAGGCCCTATCCCAAAGAATAAGACATATTTTGAAGACCCCTATGGAAGGCCTCACTCTTCCTTGGGAGCAGAAAGGGTATGGGATAGGTAGGGTGTTAGTTGGGGGGGGGGCAGGGGGGGGGGGGGGGGGAAGGGACCTGGGATTGACATGTAAAATAATTTTCTTTCTAATTAAAAATAAACGAAAAAACAACAAATAAAATAATTACATGTTGTTTTTCTATGATATGTATATATATATATATATATATATGAAGAAATCTAGCAGGAGACCTGAAAATTTATAGGAATTTGGGGAAGAGGAGGCTGAGATACGCTTCCAGGAGATACCATGTAGCTGCTGAAGGGGTAACGTATTGGATTACAGGTATGCCAAAGCCTCGTGGCAATACATAGTTTAATAGAAATGGGTTAATAGTTAAGAGAGAGATAGCC